AATGGTTGAAGATAGCCGTGAAATCTTTGTTGTGAGCGGTTCAAGATAGCCGTGGTGGAATCTCAGAGTGAATCCTATTGGCAAGGATTGTTGGCCAAAACTAGTACGGTGCTTTGACGGAGTTCAAGAGACCGAGACTTAGAGGATTCAGAAATCCTTAAGGAGAGCTTTAAGGTATTGGAGTAGGGTGTTCCCGAACGAGTCTAAAATTAGTGTATTTTTATTTTACACTTTTATTAATTGATTCCATAAATGTTCTAGTAATTATATCAAACCATGAAATTGATATAATCAAATTACCAAATAATATCTATTATATTTTACCTGCTTTAACAATTTATAGTCTAATCTTCTCATGTTTTATAAAGTTTTATTGTAGTTTTAAAATAAGTTTTTTGTTTATTAACTTACATCAATATTTTAATAAATATAATCAAAACTGACTGATTCGATTTAAATATATCATAAAAAATATGAAATTTATTTGGAAATGAAAAAAATATCTTATTAATTACTTAGGGCCAATTTGATAAATTTTGGAGATATGATAAGATGCGAGTTATGAAATCTCGTAATATGTTGTAAACCGTGTAATATTAATTGCCATCAATTGTCATAATTAGGTTGGCGGAGGCCATTATTATTATTATTAAAAAAGGAACTGTATTAATACCGAATTATTTGCCTAATTATTTATTATTGTTTAACCGTGTAATATTAATTGCCATCAATGGCCATAATTCGGTTGGCGGAGGCCATTTTAACGTAATTAATTAATTTAATTATTTATTGTAATTGAGTCATTACCATTTTATGTGAACAATTGCCATTTTTGATTGCAATAACAAATGGGCGGGAAAACCATCTCATGAATCCATGGCTTTTTAAATAAAGTACAGATTACCTTATTTATTTTATTCATTTTGTATGGTTTTGGTTATTTTTCTCATTTTTGACATTTTTATTTTTTATAAGATAAGGATAATATATTTAAAAAAAGAAAAAGAAATTGATGTAGAAATTTATTTTAAAAATTTAGAAAAAGAAATTGATGTAGAAATTTATTTGACATTTTTATTTTTTATAAGATAAGGATAATAGTTTTTCCCCTTCGCCCCCTCCTTACTGAGGTTTGCCATGCGTTTAGGATTTTGCCCGGCCAAATAACTCCTAACGCCCACCGGTACCTCCACTCCTTCGTAAATATCTGTACCCATCTGAAAATCTTCCCTTCTTTGCGTCTTTTCCTCTTTTGCTTCGAAGTCCTACCGGGCGGGGCTGGCTGCGAAGGTTTTGTATTCTTCAAAGCCCGCACCGGTAGGAAGTTCATTTCCGAAGTCCCCCAGAGTAACCGGGGGTGGAAGGAAAAATTTGTTTTCATCGAATTTCCCCCCTTCTTCACTCCTCTGGCCGGCCTGAAGTGGAATGATCATCTGCTCGACCAAGAGTACACTGCACCGGCTTCCTCCCCGGACTTGGAAGCGAATCTTGAGGTCCTCATGCGTGGGGATCCTTTCACTGGGAGGACTTTCCATTATGGCAGCTGAGTTTGGAGGGTTGAATCGGGTGGCGAGGGTACCTCCCAGGCCCATGATGCAGCGGGGCGAGGGGTACCCTCCCCGGGCAACACTGCGGAGGCTGAGGGCAACTCCCACCCAGGTACTTTTCAGTTTTCTCATGATTCGTAGTTGACCGGTCAAAATACTTGTACTTAACGGTTTTAGTTTCTTTTGCAGATATGGAGTTCGAAGAGTTCGCCATCCCTGACGACCAACCAGCCGGGGAGACCGGGGGCTCCGAAGCCAATCCTGCCAGGACTTTCCCGGTCAATCCAGAGACCGTGGAAATCCTGGATGAAGATGAGCCCCAAGACAACCGGTCTAAGGGGAAGGAGAAGGAGAAGGCCGGTCGCCGGGTGAAGAAGGTGGCCACCACGCACCCTTCCTATGCCAGGAAGAGGGCAAGGTCAGACCCTGAGCCGGCCTCCCAGACCATTGAAGAGGCTTTTGTCAACCTGGGCCTGAGGCTGAAGGAGGTAAGGCTTCTTCTTATCCTGGTCGGATTAGACTTTTCTTCCTTTGTAATGGTTTAACCGGGCCCTTTGTTTGTGCAGAAAGGGGAAATCGGGCCCCATGCAGTTGAACAGCTGGGGATGGGATTTCCTTCGGAGATTGCCCGGCTAAGGAAGGAAAAAGAGGAGATGAACCTGATTTTGAAGAATCAGGCAGATGAGTTGATCCGTCTGTCTAGTATGGCCGGGACAATGAAGGCGGAGATCTACCAGCTGAAGGAGGAGAACGGCCGGCTTATGGATGAAGTTTCTGAGGCCAA